TCCCAGAAACATGGAAGAAATCAAGTGACATGACTGACTTTGTTGTAAACACTTTGTTACCATTGTTACTAAACAGTTTCCCCTTGAAAATATGACAAGACGGAAACATCAGTTTGCTACAGCGTTTGCTAAAAAAAGGTCTTGCCCAACTAACGGTACCCCATCTTGATAACTGGCCATATATTTGTCATTTTTATCTATAACTGAAACTGCAAACACACATTTAAAGTTTACATCGTTAGAACAAATACAAAAGGTTCTGTTCCAAGGTTAATGACGTTAATGATGTCGATACGTTGAATATTAACTATCCAGTTATTTATTTCATTCAGCCAACCACTCTGATCGAGTCGCATCACTGGTGGGATGCTTTAAGTTTCCAAAGATTTATGCAGTTGACAAAAATCTGCCCTGATTCATATACAATGTTTCTTCAGATATTATCAATGAGCCAGCTTGAGGAGTACCAACGGCCACTTTACTGTTTGAAGAAAAAGAAAGAAAACAAAAGTATATAAAAAAAACAACCACAAAAAACAGTCCACTGAAAACAGCACCAATTGTTTCAGAGAACAACTCTAAAATTCTTCATACTTTCAAACAGAAAGTTTGTGTAAATATTGTGGATATTTTGAGGTGACAGAAAGAAGCTGTTTCTAACAACTAATGAGGAACCGGCCATTTCAAGGCAATTACTCACTTGTACTGTAAAATAAAAACCCTGAAATGTTAGAGATCCTCTATGAGCAGCAGCTGGGATGGAAGAACAACAGCAAGATGTTGTGCATGGCTTGTACTACAACACACACACACGCACGCACACACACACACACACACACACACACACACACACACACACACACACACACACTTTAATCCAAATAAAACAGCGGTGAAAAACTTTTCTTGTAGTTTTTAGAGAAAATATACAATCAGACGTTTAAAGTCAAACTATCAGACGCTTCCATTTCACTGACCATCAAAGGCCCTTCAGGTGTCTCAGTGAAATCCTCAGTTCATTTCAAACATCCTGAACTTTTACACAAAGAGTATATTCTCTTTGGCAGATGCTGAAAGCATCAAATGTGCTTAGGAAAATGTCGACTGTTGACATGAGATTTATCTCTGGTGTGTCATAAACATTCACAGAACACATTTAACATCTGATTAATAGTTCTCATTATTTTAACATGATTCAATCATTTACAAACTTTTTATACCTTTACACTTTATGTTATAATTGTTCACATAAGTACATGTATACAATTATGTAATGTACATAAAGCATACATGTATATTACATACATAAAGGGCTCCCAGGGTTATGTGTGCACTTTGCCTATGTGTATTATTCTATCACATAAAATTACACATCCAGTCAAAGAAATGTGTAGTTCTTTGTTTCCATTTAAAGATTTTTACTTCTCTTTTAGCTCGGTTTTGGACTCCACCGCTCCAAAGGGAAATATCCAGTTTTTCAAATGCTAAATGATGCGTGCCAGCTTTTCTCTCACTGTGTCCGTGAGCCAGTTTTATTGGCTGTGTGGTTTAGCACGGCCGTTTCCTTTCCTGCTTAGACTCTCAGTCAGTCGTCCTTTTTCCACTGACAGTGAAGGACCTCTTTCAGCTCTCTGTCTTCAGACATTTGCGGTTATTGATCTTAACCTAATTATTTCAGGGTCTCTTTTCAAGAGACGAAAAGCAATATAAGTGATAAATATTACCATTCTGTAGAATATTCTTATATTTCACTTTTACTTGTTCCCATGTTCTAGTGGGTCCTGTCGTGGCTCTAATGTGAAAGAGGATATAATATAATATAATATAATATAATATAATATAATATAATATAATATAATATAATATAATATGATGTAATATAATATAATATAATATAATATAATATGATGTAATATAATATAATATAATATAATATGATGTAATATAATATAATATAATATAGTGTAATATAATAAATTTACCCTACCGCCTACTGGTGTTGGCCAGAGGGGCCGATGGCGCAATATGGCAGCCTGGCTTCTGTCAGTCTGCCCCAGGGCAGCTGTGGCTACAACTGTAGCTGCTCCACCAGTGTGTGAATGTGAGAGTGAATGAATAGTGGCATTGTAAAGCGCTTTGGGTGCCTTGAAAAGCGCTATATAAATCCACTCCATTATTATTATTATTACTAAATTACTTACGAGTTTAATTTGTCAGCAACTTTCTGCCAGCCCTCTCTCCTTGCTTTTGCAGCCTTTGCAGTGTTCCCTTGCGTTTTAATTAAACTCTGAAACTCCTGAAATCCCTCAATCAAGAGTTCTTGCTCTGCTGCCGAAAAATACCGAGCGCGCTCCTTCGACATTTTCGCCGACCAATCAAAGGGTTGCCGATCAATGTTTCTACTATCGATGCGTAGCCCCTGTTATGCCACCCAGTGATCTCACATTACTTCATCCAGCTATACTAATCGTCAACAACAGGTGTGTTCGGAGAACCGGAATAGCGAGTTCAACGTTAGCGTGATGATTTGATCTTGGATGTAGTAAGCGAGGTACGAAGAACGGACCCCTGGTGTTCAAACACATCCTAGTCTGTGTTTTCAAAACAGTCCTGCAGCTGATGTGATGCACCTTCTGGCCAGGTTTTCACAGTCTTTGTTGCTGGGTAGGGCTCTCCTCCTAAAGGGAGTGTATGCAGGGATCAGCAGCATAGACATGTGGTCTGACAAACCTAGATGTGGTAGAGGGGTTTCTCTGTAGCCTTTTTGGATGTTGCTGTAGGCTTTATCCAGTGTGTTTGTTCCCCCTTCTTGCACATTTAAAATGCTGGTCAGATCTGGGGAATACTGACCTTAAGTCAGTACGGTTGAAGTCCTCAGCTATAATGTGCACTGCTTCAGGATGGAAGTTCAGCTGAGTGCTAATTGTCTTGTGCAGCTCCTCCATGGCTGAGTTGGTGTTAGCATCGGGTGGTACATACACGGCCGATGACAGTAAACTAGCAAGGTATGTAGATGGGTCTGCATTTCACAGTCAAATATTCCAAATCCAGGGAACAGTGGCTGTCTACAGTCTTTGTGTTTTTGCACCAGCTGTCATTGATGTAGATGCATAAACCCCCTCCTTTTTTCATACAAGAGTGGCTGGAGTGCGGCCTGTTAGCTCAGTAGCTGAGTCTGGATTTGATTGCTGCAGCCAAGTCTCTGTGAGTAGTACAATGCTGCTGTCCCGTACACACTTGTTGACTGCAAACTGTAATCTCAGTTTGTTGTTGTTGTTGTTGGTTACAGACCTGACGTTGGAGAGGAAGATACTCGAAAGCGGTGGCTTAAATGGTTGTTTCTTTAGCCATGCTAGCGGGCCCGCCCTGCAGCCATGCTTTTGCCTCCTTTGTTTACGTTTCCTCTTTGGCTTGCCGCTGGGAAGAACCAACCACAGAGACCCTGGAGTTCTTGTCATTTCCTCCAGTGGCGAAAGTCTTACATAATGTTCCTTGCACAGCTTAATCCCAAACAGCTAAAAAAAGGTCTTGCCCAACTAACGGTACCCCATCTTGATAACTGGCCATATATTTGTCATTTTTATCTATAACTGAAACTGCAAACACACATTTAAAGTTTACATCGTTAGAACAAATACAAAAGGTTCTGTTCCAAGGTTAATGACGTTAATGATGTCGATACGTTGAATATTAACTATCCAGTTATTTATTTCATTCAGCCAACCACTCTGATCGAGTCGCATCACTGGTGGGATGCTTTAAGTTTCCAAAGATTTATGCAGTTGACAAAAATCTGCCCTGATTCATATACAATGTTTCTTCAGATATTATCAATGAGCCAGCTTGAGGAGTACCAACGGCCACTTTACTGTTTGAAGAAAAAGAAAGAAAACAAAAGTATATAAAAAAAACAACCACAAAAAACAGTCCACTGAAAACAGCACCAATTGTTTCAGAGAACAACTCTAAAATTCTTCATACTTTCAAACAGAAAGTTTGTGTAAATATTGTGGATATTTTGAGGTGACAGAAAGAAGCTGTTTCTAACAACTAATGAGGAACCGGCCATTTCAAGGCAATTACTCACTTGTACTGTAAAATAAAAACCCTGAAATGTTAGAGATCCTCTATGAGCAGCAGCTGGGATGGAAGAACAACAGGATAAGAGATGTTGCATCTTGTGCATGGCTTGTACTACAACACACACACACACACGCACACACACACACACACACACACACACACACACACACTTTAATCCAAATAAAACAGCGGTGAAAAACTTTTCTTGTAGTTTTTAGAGAAAATATATAATCAGACGTTTAAAGTTTAAAGACGTTTAAACTATCAGACGCTCCCATTTCACTGACCATCAAAGGCCCTTCAGGTGTCTCAGTGAAATCCTCAGTTCATTTCAAACATCCTGAACTTTTACACAAAGAGTATATTCTCTTTGGCAGATGCTGAAAGCATCAAATGTGCTTAGGAAAATGTCGACTGTTGACATGAGATTTATCTCTGGTGTGTCATAAACATTCACAGAACACATTTAACATCTGATTAATAGTTCTCATTATTTTAACATGATTCAATCATTTACAAACTTTTTATACCTTTACACTTTATGTTATAATTGTTCACATAAGTACATGTATACAATTATGTAATGTACATAAAGCATACATGTATATTACATACATAAAGGGCTCCCAGGGTTATGTGTGCACTTTGCCTATGTGTATTATTCTATCACATAAAATTACACATCCAGTCAAAGAAATGTGTAGTTCTTTGTTTCCATTTAAAGATTTTTACTTCTCTTTTAGCTCGGTTTTGGACTCCACCGCTCCAAAGGGAAATATCCAGTTTTTCAAATGCTAAATGATCCGTGCCAGCTTTTCTCTCACTGTGTCTGTGAGCCAGTTTTATTGGCTGTGTGGTTTAGCACGGCCGTTTCCTTTCCTGCTTAGACTCTCAGTCAGTCGTCCTTTTTCCACTGACAGTGAAGGACCTCTTTCAGCTCTCTGTCTTCAGACATTTGCGGTTATTGATCTTAACCTAATTGGTGAGTTCTTTTCTTTATTTTCTGTTTGTTTCTTAAAAGAATTGCTTCAGTATTCAAAGTGGTGATTGAGCTTCTTTTCATTTTACTGGACTTTTGATTGTGTGATGCCAGGTCAGAATTGGCGGGAAACCAGACAGACATTTTCTCTCAGCCTCTTATATCCAGTTCTTTTCATTTTTCTTTCTGTGAATTAGAATTTTACTTTTGAAGTTTGACTTCTAGTTAACATTGTAAAATGGTTTATTTTAAGTCAAACAATTATCAATTTGGCAGCCAGGTGCCCAAACCAAACTAAAAAGTGAAAGGAAAGGTCTAATACATCCACCACCATCACGTTCTTAGTAGCTTACCTGAATTAGGGTTAAAGTCAGGGCTGAAGCCTTTCACAGGTCGCTCTGGGTAAGTGTGAGCTTAGACACAAAGCACTGTGTCTAAGTATGGTTAGCATTCTCATTAATGTTAAAACCTCTGAAATTATGTAAATGCTGTGATATTCTCAAAAGTTTGGTTTTACAGTCAGAATGAAGATCGCAGCCTTCAATGTCAAGAATCTTGGAGTGAGAAAACTCAACAAAGATATTGTACGAAATAATCTAATCAAGGTAAGTCATGAGACATTTACAACTTAATTTGATTAAATTATGATGCTGTTTTATTGTTGAAGTGTGTTTGTGTCATCAACATATTCAAACATTTAATTATAGAACGTATTGCCACAATAAGAGTTGCTGACTTTTAAGTGTGTGACGTCAGGCCATTTTTGCAGTATACAGAGTTATTTAAGTTTGTTCACACTGGCTTGTAAAAGTTGATGTGTTGGATTCCCAGTGGTTGCTGAACTGTTGCACCAGACTTTTATTTCTTAAATGTATTTTTACTAAGTGGGTTGTGTGTTTCTCTTAGATTGTGTCTCGGTACAGTGTGGTGGTGTTACTGGAGGTCCGGGATCCCAATGACAGGGCAATGAGCAAATTTCTCACAGAGCTCAACAGACACAGGAAAGTCATCACAAACCACATTAACAGGCATTTACACCTGCTGACCACTGGAACTAACTGACAACAACAGTATTCCTGCTGTAATGCCAAACACACAATATGTACAAAACCTCCCAAAAATAAAACTGAACTACAGTTATGTCTGTTTTTGAACAGGGGGAACAGATCTCGTCCATACAGGATGGAGATCGGTGCCCCAGTAGGACGACATTCCTACAGGGAGCAGTTTGTCTTCTTCTACAGGTACAATCATCTGACATTCATATGTTTCATAGATGTCTCACATGTCCGGAATTAAAAGCTCAAATCTGTCAAGACAGATCATTGCATTTAGGAGAAGATTTTAAGGAAAATAAAACATTTTTTAAAAAGTTTAAGATAATCCACAGAAATGATTTCAGATATTCTTCAAACCAAAATATTAACTTTTATTCACCGTCCATTTTATGCCACTTATCCGGGTCCAGAATGCAGGAGCAACAGTCTAAGGCAGAGGTGGGCAACTGCAGGTCTCGAGGGCTGGTGTCCCTGCAGGTTTTAGATGTGTCCTTGAACCAACACAGCTGATTTAAATGGCTAAATTAGCTCCTCAACGTGTCCTGAAGTTCTCCAGAGGCCTGGTAACGAACTAATCGTGTGATTCAGGTGTGTTGACCCAAGGTGAGATCTAAAACCTGCAGGACACCGGCCCTCGCGGCCTGGAATTGCCCACCTCTGGTCTAAGGGGAGACTCTTCAACATTTATTGCATTAGATATTTTTTCCTTTAAAAGAAATAAAAGCACTCTATGAATGTTTAAGAGAATAGGTGAACATGGCTTTTAGAAAAATCACCTCCTCTTCTTCACCTACTCCAGCTGTTCTGGGAGGACACGGAGGCGTTCCCCAGCCAGCAGAGAGACATGATACACCAACACCCCGACACATTAAGAGTCAAAAACCTGGAGTCGGGACTCCACCCTATTCCTGGCCTCAGACTTCCTCAGACAGCACAAGATTCACAACAATAAGCAACTTCTCACGATATAAGTCATCTCAGTTTGGGCTGAGACCTTGGCTATATGTTAGCATGAGGGAAACAGATGTGTGTGTATTTTCTGTCTCAGACAGGATGAAATGAGTGTGATTGACCGTTACCAATATGAAGAAGAAAACAAAGATGTGCTTGCCAGAGAGCCCTTTATTGTGCAGTTTCGCCGCCGTTCAGCCAGACGTATGTATGAGTGTGAGCTTTTGTCCTCTACTTCTACATTCACAGGGACCAGTTTGAAACTGGTGACGCTGCTCCTTCTTCCAGGATACAGGATAAATTGTCCATGAATGTCCATACAAGTATACAAATAAACAAGTACTACTGTGCATGTTCACCTGTAACTAACTGGTTATGTTTGTGCTTCCAGTTGTGAAGAAGCTTGTTCTGATTCCCGTCCACACCAAACCAAAGGATGCTGAACATGAGCTGCGTGCTCTTCATAATGTGGTCCAAGATGCAAGAAGGAGATGGGGCACTAATGTAGGCTGGAAATGAAAGAGTGACGAATTTACAGAATGGATTTGTTTATGATGCTAAATAACAATAATAACATTAGAGCAGAAAAGGTCATGAAATGATTGATAGTTACAATCATTGGTCTGATTGTCATTCTAGACTTCAAGCACTTCACAGCAGCAGGCTGTGGACAAATTAGTTTTATAAAAGCACAATTTTATAACAGTAAACTATTTTTATTTGTTAAGATAAAGTTATTGTTGACAAGAAGTCAAAATAATTTGCTTCTCAAGTTATTTAAATTAATTTGTTCTTTGAAAACCAAACCTGTGCCGTTATTATGTTTGACATATGAGCGTAACTAAAATGAAAAATCTGAAATGTGCTCAAACCTAAAGACTGGAGAACAAAATTATATTAAATGATATTGTTATAAAATATTTACCTTTGTATTTTCATATATATTGTCTTTCAGAGCATCATGATTTTGGGGGACTTCAATGCGGATGGACGTTACCTGTCAAGTACTAAAAGGACAAACATCAGAATGAGCTCTCGTCCCTACTTTTGGTTGATAGATGAAGACGCTGACACCACTACTAGTGACCTTAATGACCATACATATGACAGGTATCTTCATATTTACTACTTTTCTTTATGTTGTTGTTGTCTTGCTCAGAGTCACACGATTTTATTTTTAGCTTAGAAAATATTTGAATATCTAAATAGTTATTATTTATAAATATAAATACTTTCCTATTTTAAGATTAGGAAATCCGGGTGGGCAAGATCTGTTTCTATGCTGAAAAAACAATCACCGCCCCTCCTGCCTCACAATGGTTTCACTGCCTACACCTCCCTAGTTCTGTTTCATTACAGTCTTAAAACAAAGAAAGTGAAATGCTTCTTGATGGCAAATTGTCATCTGCATGTTAAACAACAGGCAAAGTCAAATGAATGCATGATTGTGACTCTATTTCCTGCCAACAGGATTGTTGTGTTTGGAAAGAGGATGAATGACGCAGTTGTTCCTGGCTCTGCAAAGCCTTTCGACTTCAAAAGAGCGTACCGCCTAAATTATGACACAGTAAGACATTTAATATTAAAAACATTTAATTCAACATGGCAATGTTTACGTGCAAACATCTCACTTCACCGCTGTTTGCCATGTTTTTCCACTTGTAGACTCGATCCGTCAGTGACCACTACCCCGTGGAGGTGGAGCTTCGGGACAATTAACGTATGAAGAATTATAGAAAAAAGCTTTATTTTTACATTGAGAACCTGCCTTGAAGTGAGATAGCAAACAAATTTCACCCCCAGTTTTAATCAGGAACCATGTATGTGTCTTATATGTGTAGTTATATAACGGTTCATGTTAAAATAGTTTTTGCTGTCTTTTTTTCATATTATGTGCAATTTTATGTCAAAGAAGAGTAAATGAGGCACTCTGCCTTTTAGTAAAATTAACAACTGTGTTTTTGGATGAACTTCATAGAAAAAAACAGGATTGAATTGATCCCCTGGGTTTCAATCAACCAACACAATGGCAAATAAACCTTTACATCCACGCACAACTTGCTTTGTTTTTCTTTCATGTTCAATTTTATGCAATGACTGGACAAGTGGAGCATGAATTGTCAGGGTTCCTGGGTCAGTAACCCAGTGTTTTCAGCTTGTTCAGGTTCAGTTTATTTTGTCACTCGTTCTCATTTTCTGTTGTTCTGTTCCTGTTACTTCTATGTGTCATTAGTTAGATTATGTTCAACCATTCACTCACCGGTCTCTAATCACTAATCATTCAGTCTGTGTATTGAAGTCCCTCAGATTCATCAGTTCATTGTCGTGTCATTGTTGTTGATGTTAGGTTGTCACTGTATGCTTTGCTCATTCAGTCATTCAGTCCGTCCGTCCGTCTGTCCGTCCGTCAGCCATTTCCTGCTCCTGTTCTATTCATTCACTCCATCTGCACTAAACACCAGCTTTCACCACAAGTCGTGCCTGTTTTGAGTCATCTCTTCCTCTCCTCCACACACGAAGCCCTGACATGAATGAGATGAAATATGGTTATCTAAGTGATTTTACAGGTTTTATTTAATAATATAGTTTTACATTTTAAATAATCATTTTGTTTATATATTGTATTTTTGATTTGGATTGAATTTTGCAAATGTATCCAGTTACCTCATTAATGTTTCCACCCGGGGAGGGAGCCTGGCCCAGCTGCCACAGGGCAAGAAGCAGGTTACACCCTGGACAGGTCTCGACAGGGTGCCAGACAGTGGCAGGGCTACAAATGCAACTATAAATGTTATCTTTGAAGCAGTCCTTGCAGACAAAAGTGACACCAGACAGAAATTTAACGCCCCGGTCGCAAGTTTAACTTAACTGTATAGATGTAATATTCTTCTGTGAGAAAAGTACACCCCTCTCACGTATCCCATGGACACATTGGCTGTTTTAATTGCTGCCTTTCTGTATTGTTTTGTTTATTTGAGACAGAAGCGACAATGTCATGTAGTGTTAAGATAACAACTGCTCTACATACTCTGTAAGTAACAAACTAATAAAGTATTCTAATTTTACCAAAACTAGAAGAGAAACTTGTTGAACAGCAGACATCCTGACTTTCTGAGGTAAAACAGTCCAAGTTGCTGAGTTGAAAAAAACAAATGTCTGTTTATATTTATACTAAAGTTTTAAATTCTCTGTATGAATTTGTACAGAAATGTCTTTAGAAGAAAGCTGTAAATATTTTGTTCTACTGTAGAACATTTTAACATCACTTTTTAATCTTTTCATTTTATTAATGATATTGATGCAAAGGAGCTGTGAGCATTATACCTTTTGTTTGGTTATATTTAGTATTTTGTCCAACAAAGAATTAAGAACCCAACTAGCATGACTCATTTGTTCTGTTAATACTTTGTTGCCATTGTTATTATGCAGTTTCAGACAGGCAACATAACAGGAAGGAAACAGCTGCTACCACAGCGTTTGTGAAACAGCCGCACCATCCAGACAAGATGTCTCAGTGGTGTGGGTGTGGAAGGACATTTTTTGTTTTTTTGCACATCAACAGGAAGCATCCTGTATTTTAAAATGACCGGGAAGCAAGAAAGAAGCGGGAATATTTGTGTGTAGGAAGAGATGAAAGGCACAGCTTGAGTCACAGTGGAGGAAAGAAGATTTTTTTATTACCAAGTGAAGCTTTATATATCTCTGAGGATAGAGGAAACTACATTATGTATTTGGTATATGAATGGATTGTCATGAACACAGCCATGGATAAAAAACATGTCACACAGCCATACCTCACTGACCCTTTAGACATCTATGTGTTATCCTGAGGCCCTTTTTAACATCATTTCCACAAAAGAACGTCCTCTCGTCTTGTGCTGACAGGAGGCACCAGATAAATATAAAGTTGTGAAAATGTTGCTTGTAATCAATGATTTTATGATTTGATTACTCGCCATGTTAGCTCTGCATTTGGTCTGTGCCATCTCTCAGGGAAGTGTCTGCTGCATGTATGAGCATGCTCATACTGCGTGGGCTGTCTCTCTGCCTGCAGAAACAGTCAGTCAGTCCCATTGATAGCAAGGACAATTCAAAAGGACATCATAGCCAGATTGGTGAATTCCTGTTCTTAGTTTTCTGCATTTTCTACAGAAAAAGGTAAGTTTGAGAAATAATTGCAGGCAATTGAGCAGCTGTTTATTTGACTGGACTTGCAAAATTTGCATTGTGTAATTCAAAGTTAGAATTGGCGGGAAACCAGCTCAACTGCTGTGAAGCTGCCAAAATGATTTTCAGATGATATGCATTTTGTCAAGGGAAGTTTTTTGCAGGTGGGAGATATTTATCTGCTAAAGTCAGCCAAGCAGAAAAAGAAAGTAATAAGTAATAATAATAGTAATAATAATAATAAAAATACTATAATACTATAAAAAGGTCTTGAGGTGTCAAATAAGAACATATACATCATAATAAAAGGTGTTAATAAATACATATTTCAGGAACTGTTAGAAGAACGCGAAGAACGTTAGAAGAACGCGACTGGTTTTGACAGTTCAGATTTGTTTCAGTTTTAAATGAAAGAGTTTCCTGTCTGAAAACCGTACAGTGTGCCAGTTTTAGTGAAGCAGAGTTATCTTCCCTGCTCACTTTATTATTCATCTATTGAGTGAACTGTTGAGGATCTGCACCTGCAAATTTAAATAGACTGAATGAATAATAGTTCATTTCTATTCATGAACAGTGTTTATGAATAGCATGTGCATCCTCTCGTGTCAGTATTTCTTGGTAATGTGTCAACAACACTGCTGTCTGCTTTATGTCTCTTGTGGCTATTAATGAATAAAATCACACTAAGAAAAACGCTTTGCACTTTTTTCTTCTACTGTCTTGTACTTTTTCCACTCTATTTTATTTAAAGATAAGGCTAAATGATATAATCTTTCCATGCTAATAAAACACATATGATAATAAATTAAATAATCCTATTTTCTGTACACTTCTGTATGGTTGTGATCATGGTTACACACGGTAAAGCCAAGTCCCAAACAATAAATGTGTAAATTTAATCAAGATATTTGCTCCTTGTTTATTTCCAATGACTAAATTTGGCTCTGCACCTCTCACAGAGGCTCTTGACCAATTCCTCCCTGCTTTGCATCTTTTTATCATCGCCTGAGTTCTTGTGCTCTGGTTTAAATATGTATTTTTTATCTTAAAATGTTTAAACTAATACTTTGGGTGTAGAACTACCAATATTTGTAATGTATTAGACAAACATGCAGAACATCAGCACACTCCATTATCCCTGAGTTGCTAATAAGTTGCTAAACTGTGTTATTGTTGCTGAAGTCTCTGTTGTTAATTTTGTTTTTACAGTGACCATGAAGATTGCAGCGTTTAATGTGAAGAACCTCGGAATGAAAAAAGTCAATAATGACAATATACTGAAAAACCTTATCAAGGTAAATCATAGTCGTGGAGCACACTGTGACCTTTTTGACTTACTTAGAGTTTTGATTGTGTTTATTAGTTTTGTGCTATTGAATGCAACATGAGGTTAAATTTGTTTGTTTGTTTTTAAACACAGTAATCCACCACTACAGTCTGTGCCCTGTTCCTTTTTTTCATATCTCACAAAAATAAGTATATTATCTAAATGCTAACAACACATAGCTGATTATAGGACCATTTATTCCTTTCATTTTCCTGATGTTGTTCACGCTGGCTCATGAAAGCTGATGCATTGTTTAAATTTGTGGTGCTTGCTTAATTGTCTTTGAAGCTTCTTCAAATTACTTCTAATATTTTCTTTTATGCTACAGTCTTTAAACGTGTTTTTTACCGTGTTCATGTGTTTCTCGTAGATTGTGTCCCGGTACAGTTTGGTGGTGATGCAGGAAGTTCAGGACCCCACTGGCAATGCGATGAAAAAGTTTCTCACGGAGCTCAATAAATATGGGTGATTTATCTCAAATTATATAACCTGTAACAATCACAGAACATCTGAGAGGTTTACGATGAAGCAACTGTGGCTTAGCGAGTTGTTGTTTTAGAACAATGTGACTACCGCTGTTAGCCAGTTATTAAACTGGGTGGGAGTTTTGGTTTAAAACTGGCTGGAACCTTCATGTTTTTGCTGATTTTTTCATATACAGCATGTTTTATGTACGTTCAATACAGATTCTATGCTCAAGGAATAGGTTTGATACTTGAAAGCTGTTAAATCGTTTGTTACTGAAACCACAGAATGAAGACCAGCTGTAAAGTTTCAGCAGCTGTGCGTCACATTTTCACTGGGATTTAAATCGCTGACACGTTTAGTCACACAATAAAGAATAAAAGTTAAATCGAGCTGAGCTGTGTTTTTCAACAGAAAAAACAAATATCATCCATTTGAGATGCTGAGCAGTGACCCAATAGGACGAAACTCTCACAAGGAGCGGTTTGTCTTCTTCTACAGGTATCCATCACGAGGTTCACAGTTGTGTTTCTGTAGCACCACCTACTGATTAAAAACATTACAATTTGTTTGTGTGTGTATCACAGATAAAGGGAATAAATGTTATTTTGTACCGAAAACTATTTTTTTCTTTTAACTTTTTAAAAGGTTAAACTGAAATCTTTGAACCAGTTTTTGAAAAAACTAACAAATTAACTTCAATTTTAATCTTAAAACTAAAAATAAATATGAATATGAAATAATAACACAAAAGTACAGGAATTGTTGTTCATAGCAATAAGTAAGTCCTTTTCATATTTCAGTGTTTCTGTTTAGCATCCAGGAAATTAATCATTGTCAATCTATCATCCCCAGAAAAGATTAAAATACAGCTGTTTATCTTTGTGTCTCAGACGTGATGAAATAAACGTGACAGATTACTACCAGTATGAAGAAGAAAACGAAGATGTGCTTGCCCGAGAGCCCTTCATTGTGATGTTTGAATGTCCAAATACAGGTATGTATGTGTATATGATCTTTGCTTCAGATCAGTCTGACTTGGTTCTCCCGTTTCAGGATAAACACTTAAATCCATTTACTATGATTTAAATATATTATTTATTATTGTTAAATTAATGGCACAGATATGACCAAGAACAGAAGAAGTACAACAATTTTACTATAAAAATCTACTCTAAGTGCCCAAAGTAAATAAAGTCATTATGTAGGATCATA